TCTGATTTCATTTTTTCTAGATCCCCTTTTGTTGCCAGTTCAGTGGGTCCAGGTGGTTGAGTATCAGAGTGTTCCATCTCATTTCCCTTTGGGGTTGTTGTAGGTGATCTGGAAGTCTGGTTTTGAGACTTATTTATGTGTTTTCTCATTTCGACTGGGGCAGAGAGCTGGTAGCGCCTGCAGGGATTACCTCCTCTGAGCTGGGAGAGGTGGGACAGGGGCTGAGAGCATTGGTAGGGATGGTGACCCAAAAGCCCTTTCCTGTGGGCTGGGAGCAGCGGGAGGGATGGTGGCTGGGAATTCCCTTCCTCTGGACCAGGAGCAGTGGGACAGTGGCTCAGAAGCCCCTACCTCTGGGCTGGGAGTAGCGGGAACTCAGTACCTTGGTCTGGTGGTCTGGTTTCCTCTGTGTCTTTGTACTGTGGGACCAGGTGGCTGCCTGTCTTCAGCGGGGTGATTTGGCATTTTCTGTGTGACTCAGGACCTCAGAAGGGTGTGCACAGACCTGCCTGTCTGCAGCGGGCTGATTCGGTGTGTTCTGTGCCACTTGGGACCTGGGTAGGGCGTGGGCAGAGCTGCCAGTTTGCAGTGGGGTGATTCGGCATCTTCCGCGTGACTCGGGACCTCGGTAGGGCATGATTGCATTTCATTCTTACCTTTTACATAAATATATTTTTAAAGAAAAGTCATTACTTCTGAACTGTTTTAGCATTTTTACTCATTTAATTCAATTCTAGTTATGGGAAATTATAGAGTCATTTAAGGATCGTGCTGACAAGCAGCTAAATTGAAGGTAGCCTTCATTATTAAGACATGCATGTCCAATTGAATTAGTAAATTAGCCATATTCTCTCACAATTGAATATATCTGAATGCTTGGCTACTGTATTAATTGGTATAACATGTCATATGCGGTCAGATATGGTCATCAAAAATGCTACTTGTCTTAAATTGTTCCCTTAACATAGACCACTCATATTCAATAAAATATCAAAACTACATAGCTGCTAATAATTTTGTAAAGTGCATCTTTCAATGATGTGGATATTACTTCTCATTTCTCTTATCTCTAGAGCTGAAATGTTCTCTTTTACTTCCAACACAATGTACTGTAACAAAACATCTGCTTACTAATAAATAAGAACTGTACTTTAAGGAGGAAGAGAAATAAGCCATCCATAATTGTAATAATGACATTTCAGGATTAGAGGACTGGTAAATGAGAACTTCTGGAGGTAAAAGTGATACCTGAATTATTTCATGTGGGTGGTTCCTTAATCATTTTGTCAAAAGAATGTTTTTTTAAAATGGGAAATAGTGTTGCTCTAGGGTGTGAATTCATTGTATTTGTCTTTGCATTATTAGCGAAGTATTTAAAAGTACTTTGATCTCATGTTTAAAGGCAAAGTTTGAAGAATCAAAAGAGATTTATATTAGACTGTGAGATATATCAAGAAAATACATAGTCATTGCTCAAATTGAATTAAACTGTTTCAGTCAACTGTTTATTGCATATGACCTTTATATTTGTAAATCATATTAATAATAGTGCTATTGCTATCCCATTTAAGAAGCATGGGATCTGAGAAGTTATTTATTTTATACTGAAAAATACAAAAATACTGAATCACTTAAGGAAGATGCAGGTGTACAATCTACAGACATGGTGTCAGTAAATATCGTACTGTATTTCATTCTTACCTTTTGCAATTGTGGGTAAATGATAATCAAATGTTTATTTTAAGAGACAAAATTCCAATAATTTACATCTTCATGAGGATTTTATGAAACTTAACTTGGGGAAAGGTTTCCTTCATTAATAATTGTAATATTTAGGTCATGTTTTTAAATAAGTTGTTAAATGACTTTAACACTGATGTTACACTAAATGTATGTCTCTCTAAATTGACTTAATACTCACTGAGGTGGTTTAATGTCTACCTCATGTTGGAATATAGAAATACCACTGCTTTTATTCTTGTTAATACATCACAATTTAAACATAACCCCTATACATTTGATATGGGACTTCAGCTAACAATGTTGGAAATGTGAATTGTACCTGCCACTGCCATACCTAGCAGCATTTGAAGAAATCCCCAGATATTTTTCAGAAGTTATTATCAGTCATCAAGTACTTGAGCAGTTTGGGAAAATGCTGGATAAACAGACCAAAAAAAAAAAAAAGGAATTTCAGTTTTCAACCTTATAACCTGCATTATTACTTCCTAGTACCTATACGTGCCATTCTGTAAATACTTAGGAACTACTTTGAAAAGGATTATTTTGCCACAAATTGTCCAAAATGGAGTGGGAGTAAATAAGTGGATTCAGTTAGTAATATTATCTAAGTATTTGCATTTGTATATCAATACTATAATCCAAAGTGTATTTTCCTCAGCTTTGTCAGTACCTCTTAGTGCACCAGATCTATGTCTTGGTAGTGTAAACTACCATCGTGTTAAAATATGCAGACGTTAGTACAGAAAAATAGAATGTAGGTCACTTTTAAAGCGAGGTGCAAGAAAGTAGTAAACAATGATGTATTGTCCTATCTTTTCAAAACCATAGTTAATTTTTCTGTAATATTTTGTTTTCTGTCTTAGATGATAAAAATAAAACAGGGGAAAATAAAAGATTGTGGTCAAAATTTTAGTTTCAGAGAA